TCTTCTTTAAATTTTTTTAATTAGTGGAAAAAAAATTGTAATAATTTGGTTCCTAGTTTAACTAGGCAATTTAGAACGATACACTATGTATTAGGGTCTTTCATTTAAAAAAAATTGATTTCAAAAAAGTTATATTAAAAAAAATATTAATATTTTATATTAAAATAATAAACATAACCTAACGTTTTGTTGAATTTTAGTGCTAGCTACATTTTTAAAAAATTTTAATTTTACTCTTTATGGCTATTATACAAACTACTTGGTGCGCCTGTGGTACTTGGTGCGCACCCACCAATGGTCAACTCTCTTGAATAATCTTTTTCTGTCAAACAGTTTTATTTTTAATTATTTTAAGTATTCTATTTATTGCAATGTAAAGAAGAAAATTTGAAAAATTCTGCTTATATGTGTAAAATATGTAACAATATCCTTATAAAAACTCTTATATTTTGTTACAAATATATTTTAGGGCTTCTTACACTTGAGGTGGTTTGGCGCCCTATTGTTAGATAGCCCTATAATTTTGTATGTTAAAAATTTATGTTAACTAATGGTATCTAAAAAAAAACTATTTTATTAATAACAATAAGTAGTCTAAGTAATCTATGGAATATTAAGTGTTAAATTAAGTATTAAATTTAATAATATAAAATATATAGGTTGAATATTAAAAAAACAACAGAATGTTATACTTTTTGAGCTCAAAAAAAAAAAAGTAATTAAAAAATCACTTAATATTATTATTTAAGTATAGTTTAGAAGTTCCATCATGTCTTTCTTGCTCCTATTAGCAGACATCAACTCTCTGCTAATGAACTGGGCTCTTATGTAAGTTCCTCTTCTTTCTGATGTGTGGACATGTCCTGCAGCTTCTGTGACTAGCTGTAGACACCTCTCAACTGATTGTGTATGTGAAATCCATAGGGGAACAACCATGAGGTTATTAATTAAATCTTTAATATCCAAAGATGTAAAATTGCATGTCAAAGGTGGTTCTTTTATATTACTGCTCCAGTCTATCAAACTAAAAAGATTTTTAGCATCAATGTTAATATTAAGTGTACTTTGATGTCTATGGCTATAAACACCAGTAGTATTTTGCTCGTGATATTTTTCAAGCTTAAGAATAATTTCCACAGCTTGAACTCTTTCTACATTACTCTCGCTGCATATCATAGCTTGTAAAATAGCTTCTGAATGTGCATACCAAGCTGATCTTTAAATTGTAGGCATTACAATATTAAGAACTGTTTTCCTATGACTTCTGAGGAGTTCTAATTGGCATAAAACATACCTTGGTCCCTCAACCCAACATGATTTAACTTTTATGTTAAACCAGTTCGGAATATAAACACCAACAATAAATTTGACAATCCATGTAAGATTACGAAGGTTGATACCATATAGGCCATGCTGAGAAACCCATATCCTGCAAAATCGTAATGCTGTAGTTAGCTAGCTGAAATTGCAAACCGATCCTATTTATAGCATTGCTAACAGCTGAGGTAAATCACCAGACCTTATTGCTTTTGTTATTCTGTAAGCATAGCTCTGATCAGTACATAAACCTTTTATTACTTCAGGACTAAGAACAGTTAATGCAGGCGCAACATCAATTTTTGTAAATCTGGAATTAATATCAAGACTTGTTGCCGTATTTAACATCTTTCCCACTTATTTCCATATTTTGTTGGGTCGTCTAAGCTTATAATTAAATGTCTTAACCCTAACTCGTTTGTGTGAAGATCGCACACAATCCACACTTATCTCTTTCTCAATTTTCTTTCCACCCATTGCAAGAATTAAACTTTTTGTTATTATCATTAAGTTAATCTAAAAAGTAAAAAAAAAGATATTGAGATATATTTATAAATCACTAAATCAACATTTAATTTCTCCAAAAATAGTTATACTACAATTATTTACTAACAAATTTTATCATTACTTGATCTGTGCAAAACAATTATAACCTTCTGGAATCATTTGGTTGAGTTTTTCTTCTTTTTAAAATTTTTTAATTTACATTTCTAATTGCTGCTGATAACTTGTTTTATTTTTGTTAATTCTATTGATTTTATTGATTCTATATAACTCCACCAATATATAGTAATGTGCAAAACTTCGAACTTTGTCTCTTTGTGACTTGGTAAAGCTGAGTTCTATAGCAGGAATCTTATTTTCATGTACATACATTCATTTAATATGTGCCTGCTTTTTATAGACTTGATCACAACCATACTTTAAGCAAAACATTATTAAACATTTTTTAGGATAAAATATCAATAAATTTGTTGATTTTTGGAATGAAACTATCCTTTATTGATTATTTTGCATTTCCAAGGCTAACCTTAACAGCAGTTTCCCACAGATACTTCAGTTTAGCTTAAATACTACACTCTTTTATTACTACTGGATGTAAAAACTTGCAATTAGTCTTTTTCCATTGAGCTGATAAATCCATTGAGCTGATGAATCCATTGAGCTGATAAATCTAGAGTCATATCATTAACTAGTTTCTTGAGAGTATAGTTTGTTTTATAAAGGTCACTGGTCTCTCTCAAAAATATTTTATATCATAAAATGTCCCTTGCAGTTGGGAGCTCAGATAGTAAAAAGAGGTTTCTCTTTTCCAACATATCTACTTGAGTGAGTAGCTGATAAACTTTGTGTGATTTTTAGTGCCATTATTTTTATTAAAATTTAACTTTTTAATAATCCAAGTAATTTTATTTTTAATTTATTTTCATCAAGTTAAGAGTTTAAGTTTTGAAAAATATATTTTAATAGGTACAAAATAAATTTCTTCCACTTGAAGTTTAATTTTTAAACAGAAAAATGAAATGTATCATTGTTTTAATTTTCAAAATATTAACAAATTAAATAGATAAAAACCCAAAAAAATGTAGCTACCGTTTAATTTATTTTTAAAAGTACTACTTCATTTCATTTATGAAATCCTACCATTATTTCACTATAATCCTACCATTATTTCACTATAATCCTACCATTATTTCACTATAATCCTACCATTATTTCACTATAATCCTACCATTATTTCACTATAATCCTACCATTATTTCACTATAATCCTACCATTATTTCACTATAATCCTACCATTATTTCACTATAATCCTACCATTATTTCACTATAATCCTACCATTATTTCACTATAATCCTACCATTATTTCACTATAATCCTACCATTATTTCACTATAATCCTACCATTATTTCACTATAATCCTACCATTATTTCACTATAATCCTACCATTATTTCACTATAATCCTACCATTATTTCACTATAATCCTACCATTATTTCACTATAAAATTTCTTTTTTTGAAAATATTGGGTTTTATTAGTTGTTGAATTGACACACCCTATTATGTATCATTCTAAATGTTGTCAAAAATTAGCAACAAATAACAAATATTGCGATAAACCTAAAATTTATAACTTGGTCCCAAAAATGATAAAACTATGACTTGATCCTTTATTTTTCATTACTTTTGAAAATATACCTTTTGAAAAAAATAGTAAACTTATGTTATTTGTGTTAGATTAATTTACCATAATAGAGATCATACTGATATGATAAACCAATGATTTTATCTTTTATCTTTCATTACATTTTATGTAATTAAATATATTGTATTGTTATTATATTATTAGTTAGTATTTCACAAATAAGACTTGTTTTGATTCATGATATATAATAATAACACGCATCCCACATAATAAAAAAATCTGACACTCATGACATAATGACAACATCTCACACATAACTTAGATAAGAAACTTTATTTGATGAAAAAATAAAATGAAATTTAGTGCCAAATAAGCTGAAGGAATAAATAAGCCTGAGGAACACCTTAACTCAAAGTAATATTCAATGTTGTAAAGATTTCATTACCTAAGTATCAAGTCATTTATAAGATGAACAATTTATTATTTCAATTAAAACAATCAAAAATCTAAAATGCATCAGAATGCCAGACAACAATCCTAACTCAAACATATAATTATCAAGAACTAGCAGTTTTGATCATAGCCGCTTAATAGCTTATTACACAATTTCAGTAACTTTCAATAATATTTGACAACAAAACAATAAAAACTCAATAAAATCTATTTAGTTTTGTTGGACATTGAACACAGCATTTTATAAAAAAACATCAAAAATAGAGAAAAACTTTCTTATCGCTTATATTAAAACATCAGATGAAAATTCTGTTGTAAAGAATGAGTTTAATTCTTATAGTAAATTAAATCTTTTGTGCTATGTTTTAAAGCCTGATTGTGTTTTGCCATAAAATCATTGAGTGCTACGCCATAAATTCTGATTTTATTTTAAATTGTGGCCAGATAAGTATTTTGGAGATTCAACTATTATTAACATAATGGCTGAATTTAAACATAATAATGCAAACACCAATGATGCTAAACGTTCTGGTTGATTTTGGTCGCAAAGTCAACAGGTGTTGCAGAATAGAAAAGTCTGCAAAATACTTTAAAAAAAATAATTAAATAGAATTGTGTGAGTAAGCCGATGCATCAAAGATACAAAATAATAGTATGTTTGCAAATTTACAGACACAAAAAAACTTGACAATATATAGGTTGCTTTTGAAACGAGTGCAGTGCTTGTTTAAACCAGACTAAAAAACAAAAACCCATTAACAATTCAGAGGGCTGCTTGGACCTTTTATATTGTGTCAGCTCAACTCAAACTTGTCTTGTTGACTAACTACAATGTATTTTATACATTATTGTTTAGGTTAAAAAAGTGCTAAAAGTTGAGGGTAAAGGTTTGCATATTAGATATAGATTTAATACATAAAAAAGTTTTTAATTTAGTTAAGAAAACAAATAGTTATAAAAAAAGCGTGAAACAGATGTGAAGCAAAAATAAAAATAAACTTTTAATTAAAAGTTTATTTTATTTTAATTAAAAGCTTAATATGATAAATAAAAAAAAAAAAATGTGTAAAAAAATTACTCTGCGCAGAACAAAAGTAAAAAC